CTGGATTAGCAATATGCCGGCTTTTTGTTCGAGGGCCACGTGCATCAATTGTTCGGTTGCCGCTTTGCCCTTCCCCAGGTTGATTTGAATGGCCACGATGTCCGCCGTTTTTGGTATCGCACTGTTGTTAGTCGCCATAATCAATTTTATTAATTGCTAGCCGTAGGGGGGTACAGGTGTTCAAGGACGTTACCGGTTCGGTAGGGTTAATGGTGATGGGGGACAATGTGGTCGTGGACAATGTGGGTCAAGGTGTGGGGTATGTGTGGGCGGCTTTGGGGGGCATGATTTTGTACAGTGTGTACTTCCCTCCCAATGACGCGATGCTTCAGCTGGAGATGACCTTGGAGGATCTGGGAGACGCTATCCGACGTAGCGGACGGGATAAGGTAATAATAGCGGGTGATATTAACGCGGCCTCGCCGGCATGGGGTGCGCGATCGGTCAACGCTAGAGGCGAGTTAATTGAGGAATGGGTGGAGTCGAAAGGTGCCGAGATTGCGGACAGCGAGACCATCAGGGGCACGCAGCGTTTGAGTGTCAGAGATGGGCGGCGGAGAGGGCGGTGATGGAAACCGAGGTGGGAGTGCGACTAGGGCCACACAACCTAATAAGCACGATGCTGCGAGACGAGGCGAGATGGGGCGCGATAGCGCGGTACTGGCGGGTAGTGTGTAGTGCGAGAGAGAGGGACTCGTGGAGTAGGACATAGTGCGGGGAGAGTGACACCGATAGAACAAGAGGGACGCGAGAGGGAGAGGGACTGATTAAATCGGGGAAATGCGAACCACGTGCTGCAGATCCCTTTAGGTTGAAACAATGCCGACGATAAGGGATCTGCGGGTGTATTAGGTTTAGGCATAGGTTAGGTGACAGTGATAGGGTAAGCGGACAAGACGAAGAGAGGGCACATAAGTGTGACAGGCAATAGACACAAGGCTTAAATCTAGGTGGCGAACAACTGCCACCGGACCATCCTCGGTCGCGAAGAATGCCAACAGGCGATACCCGGCCGAGCCACCAGGTCATAGAGAGAGGAAAGGGTTTTAGTGGGTAAACCTTCCTAGATGGAAGGGAGTCCTACACACCCCCCGCTATAGAGCCAAGCGGGGAAGCCTATAAAAGGTTTCCCGAACCTCAATAAAAAAAAAAAAAAAAAAAAGCGGCCGTGAACTGTCTACAAATTGGATTGTTATTAGGGTGGGCCGAAATCGCCATATTTTTTTAATTTTTGGATATCGACTTTAGAATAGTTATTAACAGTTGCCTTTTTTATTTTTAAAGCGAAAGTTTATTTTGCATTTTTTTACTGTGAGTCACCTTTTGCCCTCTACCAATCCTTAATGATAATGCAAAAATCCGAAAATAAAATTTTGTATTTTCAATTTGGAATACAACACAATATATTAGAAATGATATTACAAACATAATCTTTATTAACCATTTTTCGATTGTGACCACTCTTTAGCCCTCTACAGACGATCCAAATTTCAAAATTAACACCAGCGCCTACTTCTTTGCTTCTGCCACGCGTCGTGAAGCTACGGGAAACGATCCGGTATGTTTTTGTATTATTTTGATTTGTTACTCGTTCTAGCAGTTCGTTGAATAGTTTCGCGGCGTCAGCTTCGTTTAAGCAACGATAGACCGTTATTTGTGCTGTTTGTTTTTATTAAACGCTTCCCTATGAATACAAGAAAAAACATTGAGTGCCCCATTTTAGGTACTCCCACCTGCCTTAAAGGTAACATGCTACCCTCGCATGAGGACGTCTTAAAGTGCTTTTTATGGATACGGTATGATTTGAAGTGCCAAATTCTAAAAAAGAACCAACCGTTTTAGCGATATCAAATATAATAGCTGACAAAATCTTAAAGCCGTTTTACAGTTAACAATTTTTCTTGCGTGCAATTTAACTTGCTGCAAGTTTTAGGTGCAATTAAAATTGCCAGTGGCTTTACAGTTGGCAATTTTTGTGATGCAACAATCATTGCAAGCGTAAGTACCAACCCTACCCTAGACAAGTACCAACCTTTAGGAGGTTAAAGCAAATGTCTACAAAGATGGATGAAAATATAAAGGTTAAATTATTAATTATTATTATTATTTTGTTGGGATCTGCGCTGCTTCTGCAAGATGGTACGAGAAAAAAAAGGCTGCGAGACGAGGCGAGATGGGGCGCGATAGCGCGGTACTGGCGGGTAGTGTGTAGTGCGAGAGAGAGGGACTCGTGGAGTAGGACATAGTGCGGGGAGAGTGACACCGATAGAACAAGAGGGACGCGAGAGGGAGAGGGACTGATTAAATCGGGGAAATGCGAACCACGTGCTGCAGATCCCTTTAGGTTGAAACAATGCCGACGATAAGGGATCTGCGGGTGTATTAGGTTTAGGCATAGGTTAGGTGACAGTGATAGGGTAAGCGGACAAGACGAAGAGAGGGCACATAAGTGTGACAGGCAATAGACACAAGGCTTAAATCTAGGTGGCGAACAACTGCCACCGGACCATCCTCGGTCGCGAAGAATGCCAACAGGCGATACCCGGCCGAGCCACCAGGTCATAGAGAGAGGAAAGGGTTTTAGTGGGTAAACCTTCCTAGATGGAAGGGAGTCCTACACACCCCCCGCTATAGAGCCAAGCGGGGAAGCCTATAAAAGGTTTCCCGAACCTCAATAAAAAAAAAAAAAAAAAAAAGCGGCCGTGAACTGTCTACAAATTGGATTGTTATTAGGGTGGGCCGAAATCGCCATATTTTTTTAATTTTTGGATATCGACTTTAGAATAGTTATTAACAGTTGCCTTTTTTATTTTTAAAGCGAAAGTTTATTTTGCATTTTTTTACTGTGAGTCACCTTTTGCCCTCTACCAATCCTTAATGATAATGCAAAAATCCGAAAATAAAATTTTGTATTTTCAATTTGGAATACAACACAATATATTAGAAATGATATTACAAACATAATCTTTATTAACCATTTTTCGATTGTGACCACTCTTTAGCCCTCTACAGACGATCCAAATTTCAAAATTAACACCAGCGCCTACTTCTTTGCTTCTGCCACGCGTCGTGAAGCTACGGGAAACGATCCGGTATGTTTTTGTATTATTTTGATTTGTTACTCGTTCTAGCAGTTCGTTGAATAGTTTCGCGGCGTCAGCTTCGTTTAAGCAACGATAGACCGTTATTTGTGCTGTTTGTTTTTATTAAACGCTTCCCTATGAATACAAGAAAAAACATTGAGTGCCCCATTTTAGGTACTCCCACCTGCCTTAAAGGTAACATGCTACCCTCGCATGAGGACGTCTTAAAGTGCTTTTTATGGATACGGTAGGATTTGAAGTGCCAAATTCTAAAAAAGAACCAACCGTTTTAGCGATATCAAATATAATAGCTGACAAAATCTTAAAGCCGTTTTACAGTTAACAATTTTTCTTGCGTGCAATTTAACTTGCTGCAAGTTTTAGGTGCAATTAAAATTGCCAGTGGCTTTACAGTTGGCAATTTTTGTGATGCAACAATCATTGCAAGCGTAAGTACCAACCCTACCCTAGACAAGTACCAACCTTTAGGAGGTTAAAGCAAATGTCTACAAAGATGGATGAAAATATAAAGGTTAAATTATTAATTATTATTATTATTTTGTTGGGATCTGCGCTGCTTCTGCAAGATGGTACGAGAAAAAAAAGGCAGTGGTGGGTCAAACCTTGGTTAGGAAAAGGAAAAGGAAATTTGAAATTGCGCAGAGAGTTATTAGAAGATAAAAAGAGTTTCAAAAATTTCTTGAGAATGGATGAAACAACCTTCAATGATTTATTAAAAAAGATAACTCCCAAAATTGAGAAACAGTGGTACACTAGGGAATGTGTATCTGCAGAAATCACACTCCGATACCTGGCAACAGGCGAAAGTTATCGAAGTTTGATGTACAATTACCGCATTCATGAGAGCACAATTTCAATCTTTGTACCTCAAGTATGTCGTGTAATATATGATACATTGAAAGTTGATTATTTAAAGGTAAGGAGTCAATTGTATGTGTAACTTAATTATAATTATTGTTTAGATACCCACAACTGCCGCTGAATGGCTAGAGATTGCCAAAGAATTCGAGGATAAGTGGAATATGCCAAATGTAATTGGTGCTCTAGATGGCAAACATCTTGTAATTAAGTCTCCTGGAGGTTCGTCATATTATAATTATAAAGGACAGCACAGTATTGTCCTTTTGGCAATGGTAGATGCCAGTTACAACTTTATATATATCAATATTGGTATGAATGGACGTCTCTCTGACGGTGGGATCTTTTGGGAGAGTGATTTGTCGAAGGCTCTAGAACGAAATTGGCTTAACATTCCTGAAGACAAAGCGTTGCCTGGTAGAATTATGCCAGTGCCACATGTAATTGTTGCGGATGCTGCATTTACACTGTCAAATGTAATACTAAAGCCTTACCCATTCAGAGGTCTAACCCACCAACAAAAAATATTTAATTACCGTTTAAGCCGAGCACGCCGTGTTGTAGAAAATGCGTTTGGTATTTTAGCAAACCGCTTCCGTGTGCTGTTAAACATAATACCTTTGCGACCAGAGAAAGCAAAAGTGGTTGCACAAGCCTGTTGTGCGCTACACAATTATTTGCAACACAAAAATAGAGACTATTTTAAAAATGTTGAAGAAACAGTCGATAGACGCTACAGGTTTGTGTATGGACTTAGTAGGCAACACGGTGATAAGCCTACTGGGAGGGCTTTACAAATACGCCAGGAATTTACAGATTATGTAAATGGGAACGGTCGTGTTCCGTGGCAAGATGATATGGTTTAATTAAATTTTGTATAGGGTAATGTAGTAGTAAGTCATCATTTTTTATTTAAATTTAATGTTTTAATAGCTATTAGTAATGTATAGTAGGTAGTTTTTTATTTAAGTTTAATAAAAACTTTAGCTGTTTGTTGGTTAAATGAAAATAAACTTTATTAAAATACAAGCACTATATTTAACTTATTTTAATTTAAAAAATAAAATTAAAAAACTAATCCCTCAAACTTCTACGAAATTCTTTTTTTGCATTTAAAAGTGATGAGTATATTGCCATTTTTAAATTGTCTAATATTTCTTCATCCTTAATTTTATCCATTTCTGATGCAATCATTCTGAAAAAATAACATGATAAGTATTACTACAGAATTAAATTCAATACACTTACTGTTCAAATAGGATATTGTCCCCAGGTAATCTTTCAGGCATTTTTGGTGCAGTAGAGGTTGTCTGAATTTTGTCAAGTGCTTTAGTTGCACTAGCAAGTAATTCGCCAAATCCTGTATTTTTTTGTTTGTTTTGTTTCATCCGTGTTGTAGGAGGTGCACTAGAAGCTCTGGGTGGTACTTGTGTAGGGTTCTCCACAACAATTTCTGATTCATTTAATTCGGCTACAGTGCCATCAAATACCACCTCCAAATTTTCTTGAGTTTCCTGTTAACACCAACATAATTAGTTTCAGATATTAACTACATGAAACATTACACTTACCATTTGCTCTCCGTCACCTTCGGTGTAGTATGTTTCTTCGGTATATTGAGATTGAGACCAGGTCTCACGCTCTGAATCAGGCACACCGCTAATACTAGCTGGAATATTTGATTCTCCTTCCGTAACCACAGTACTCTGACCAATAAATGCTAATATTTCAAAGTACTGCCACTTCGGAGTATACACTTCATCAGAAGAAGTGCCGCTCACCTTACTTTTTTTAATTTTTCCCAGTTCACTGAGATATTGTGTTCTTAAGTCGTGCAACTTTGTTTGTACATCTTTAACTGTCAACGATTTGTTGAGGTTTTTATTTAATTCCGCTGTTATGGAATTATAAGCTGCATTTCGTACATTTTTGTTTTTGTAGGAATTACAGCTTGTCAAGTACAAGCAGGGATGTTCCTCGTACAAATGTATTAGTACCGTTGTTACATCCGGAGTCCACACGAACTGCTTCACTCTGAAAGAATGCATTAACTTCTAGCATACCATACAATGAATTTATACGTACTTTGAACAAGAACTTCCGCTCATTTTAACTTTCACTCTTCACAGTAAATCCAAAATCCAACTCACAGAACACCACGCCGATCCAACTGCTACAACACGTGTCACTAGTTTATTTACGATCAGCTGATTGCAGTAACACAAAATCAAATTTTTGAAAGGTTGGTACGTCGTAATATACTACAAAAGTTACTAAAATTGCATGCAAGATACAGAACTTTTGGCGCAAAACACGACATTTTTCTTGCACCATAAAAATTGCAGCAAGTCGACGCAATATTCGATTTGCGCATGCGTGCAATAAAAATTGCAGCAATTTTTCTTGCCGGAAATAAAAATTGCGAACTGTAAAGTGGCCTTTAGATGTTTGGGACAAAGGTTCAATCCCTACAGTAACGCGCAAACGTGTATTGCAGCTTATTACCACACATCACGATAAATATCTTAAGCTTCTACGATTCCCCAAATGTAAGAGAAATGAAAACTATAACTTAAAAATTGAAGCTTATAAAAGAGATATCAAAAAGCTGTTCGACATTAGTGCTTGCAAATGCAACAACTAGACGAATGCTCTTGTTGCAAAACAAATAAAATACCATTAAAAGAACGTCCATTCATCGTAGACCAAAGAGGCCCTCGATTGATGGTTATAGGAACTGTTGATGTTAAGGAAACCGCAAAACTAATAGATAAGGTCACAAAATATGAGAAAGCACGTGAAAGATTGCGTTTACACCAAAGTAGTACTGCGTGTTCGGTATCGGTTTCCAGGAGAGCAGATAAAATGGATTCGGTTACAGAGCGCGAGAAACCATCGACTTCTACAGAACCTTGTCCAAAAGCACATTGTAGTAAAAATATTATGCAACTGCCTACTCTAGCTAAAGTATGTGACCGCTACGGGATCTCAGATCGATCTGCCGCTGCAATAGCCTCAGCTGTATTGCAGGACGTGGGGATAATAAACGATGAAAATTCAGAACAAATAATAGATAAAAATAAAGTAAGAAGGGCAAGGGAAAAATCAAGGAATATCCTTCCGGAAGCTACAGAACCAGGGCCATTAAAAGCGGTATACTTCGACAGACGTAAAGACAAGACCCTGTTTATTGAAGAAATAGAAGGGAGATTTCGTAGAGGGACAATCGTTGAGGAACATATTTCGCTAGTGAAAGAACCAGGTTCTATTTTTCTAGGCCACACTGTTCAATCTAGTGGATCTGCAAAAAATATTTTTGGAAGCGTTGTTAGCTTTTTGGAAGAACATAATTATAATTTAGAGGATTTAGTTGCGATAGGATGTCATGGTACGGTAGTGAATACGGGTGTGAAAAACGGTGTAATAACACAACTGGAGTCAAAATTAGGTCGCCCTTTGCAATGGTTTATCTGCCAGCTGCATGGCAACGAACTGTTACTCAGACATCTATTTGAACACCTTGACGGTAAAACTAAAGGCCCTGCAACTTTTTCTGGAGTATTAGGAAAAGAAATTGTGCTATGTGAAAAACTACCTCTTGCAGAGTATGAAATTATTCCCTGCACATTGATTGACGTCGACTTGAATGATTTAAGTTCGGATCAGAAATATTTGCATCAAATATGTCTGACAATATCTTCTGGTCAATGCCCAGCCGAGTTACTGAATCGCAGTCCAGGAAAATTAAACAATTCCCGATGGCTTACTTTAGCTAACCGTCTTTTGCGCCTTTATGTTTCAACAAAAGACCCAACTGCAAATTTAAAAGACCTTGTTCGCTTCATACCAAACGTTTATGCTCCGTTGTGGTTTATTATTAAGTGCAACCCATCTTGTGCAAATGGATCAAAACATGTGTGGAAAACTATCAACTTAAGCCGATATTTAAAAAAAGATTTGAGAGACATTGTCGATGCCGTTATTCAACGTAGCCCCCCCCCCCCCCAGTACGTATTTTGTCGCTTGTAACTAGGTCACCTGATACATTTGGTCATGCGCTCAATTGCGCCACTTCAATTAAAGCTTGCGCCATTAAGGTTAAGGCCTGACAAATTTTCAAAAAGTGGGGGGGGCCAACTTAACGTTTTTTAAAGTTAGGTACTACATTAATACGCCAAATAGGAAACATCTATGCAGAACCTGTATTTGGAATTGCAACACAGAGCACTAATAATGGTACTTAAGTACAGAGTTGCAATTCCACATGAAGGTATATTAGATGTATATACTTTCATATTAAAAAAAATTTAGATTATGCAAATTGGTGCATTTCCTGGTATAATTGGATGCATCGATTGCACACAAATTGCCATTGTAGCACCTAAAACAGAAGATCCAGAAATGCCTGGAGTTCTGTTTTACTGTAGAAAACAGTATTATAGTTTAAATGTTCAAATAGTAAGTTTTCATGTTTTCTTACACTTCCTACTAAATTTTAATTTGCAGATTTGTAATGCACAGTTAAAAATTTTAAATATTAATGCCAGATTTCCCGGATCAGTGCATGATTCTGGTATATGGCAGACTTCACAAGTACCGTAAAACGGGGTGTAGTCGACCAGTTGGGGTGGAGTCGATCAAAACGATATTTTCAAATATCGCGGGTTCCAGCGGCCAACAGCTGTTTATTACCGGCAACGTTGCACGCCGCAAAAATCTGTCAGATGCGAACGGTGTGGTACGACGGTTATTGTGTTCATTCATAACGTAAGTTTCTTATCTTTTACCTGTACAATAAAAGCGTTTTATAATGACTTTTTTTCATAACGTGTAAACAAATATCTGCCCAGCGATATACACAAAATCTATTCTCAATTTTGTTTTTGTACCTTAAAACTCATGTAATTATCTCACGAATTCTATTTCACCGGTATATTTGCGCCGGCGATTAGGCGAATTAGGCAACCAAATTTGCATTTGTGTCCTTTGCAGGGGTGTAGCCGATCATGCCTAGAAACTACAAAAAAAAGCTTGGTGCTGAGGGTAAACGCAACTACCGGTTAGAGTTCCTAACCAACGCTATAAGAGAGGTACGAGCAGGTCGGTTGTCAATTAGGAAGGCGTCTGAAAAGTATGGAGTACCATACACAACCTTAAATGAAAATGTCAAAGGCAAATATTCTAAAAAATATGGTGGACAATCAGTTATAAGTGACGAGCAAGAAAAAATATTTGTTGAAGGTATATTAAAATGTGCAGAGTGGGGGTTTCCGCTCAGACGGATTGATGTCAAAAAATTGGTTCAAGGCTATCTTAATCGTTTAGGAAGGCGGGAACGTCGATTTAAAGATAACATGCCCGGTAATGAATGGTTTTTATCATTTATGAGTCGCCATAAAAATATTACTGAAAGAATGGCAGAAAATATTAAACGAGTCAGGGCTGGAGTAGATGCAGTTACAATTAATACATATTTCGATCATCTTGAGAAATCTCTTGAGAATATTCCACCTAGTAATATAATTAACTTTGATGAAACTAACTTCACTGACGACCCCGGCTCTCAGAAAATCATTGCTAAAAGAGGGGTTAAACACACTGAGAGAATATTGGATACATCAAAAACGAGTATTAGTGTTATGATGGCAGCAGCAGCTAACGGTACAGTTCTGCCACCGTACGTAGTTTACAAATCCAAACACATCTATAATACTTGGATAGAAGGTGGTATACCAGGGGCCTGTTATAACAGAAACTCGAGTGGCTGGTTTGACTTAGAAATGTTTGAAGATTGGTTTCATAAAATTTTAGTTCCTTATGCAAGAAAAATGGATTGCAATTATTGGAGACAACCTGTCCAGCCATATATCTATAAACGTTATAAAATCCTGTAAAGAATACAACGTGGAATTCATCCTTCTGCCGCCAAATTCAACTCATTTATGCCAACCGTTAGATGTAGCCTTCTTCAGGCCGGTAAAAAATACTTGGAGGAAGGTTCTCTTCGATTGGAAACAAAAAAACAGGGGCGTACTTCCAAAAAGTGAATTCCCATCACTTCTGAAAAAAACTTTTGAAGAAATTGGTACTAATATTGAAACTAACGTAACAGCTGGATTCGCAGCCTGTGGGATTGCTCCATTGAACAGACTCAAAATTTTGAATAAACTTCCTAAACAAGAAACTCTTCAACAAGGCAATACCTAAGAAGGCACTTAGCCAACAACTTTACAGCAAATGGACGCCAAATGACATATTTGTTAGGTATGTAGATTTTGATTCCGTACTGAACTTGTCTTGTATCCCTATGCTTATATCTGTGCTTGTATGGTCATACATGTATGTTAGGAGATTCGGGCTACCCTTTAGAGCCTTGGCTAATGACACCAATAGCTATTCCAATGGCGAATAACGAGGTGGAATACAACCGTCGACACAAGATGATTAGAAATGTCATAGAAAGGACAAATGGTGTGTTGAAACAACGGTTTAGATGCCTTCTTAAACATAGGACATTACATTACGCTCCTGAGAGAGCAGCTAAAATTATTTACTCTGCTGCAATAATGCATAACTTGTGTATTGAATGGAACGAAAACTTAGGTAATGAAAATAGTAAATATGTGTACAGCTATAATTTAAAAATGTTCACAGACAATTGTAATGAAGAAAACGTGCACGATGAAATGGACATAAATGAACAAAATGTGGTTGAAGATTTAGATCTTTTTGAAAGAAATGTTTTACGCCAAGGCCGTAATATTAGAAATACCATTGTGGCAAATTATATGGTGTGATTTCATAAAAATAGTAATCTATGAAACATTAGTTTTTAAATGTTATATTATTACAATACATATATGTTTACATAACTAAAATCATTAAACTTTTAGAACTAAAAAAATGGTTTAAGAAGCTTACACCCTAGTCATACTAAGAGCTGAAACTTGAATGGAATCTGCCACGGATGGTATAGTATTTGCAATCATTTCCAAACTTCTACTTATTCTCTGCGTATACTCTTTCAATAGCACAGAGAATCTTCTATGCAGATCAGATGCTCGACGTACCCCTTTTAACAAATTAGTTAGATCCAGTTCGATACATAAATTGCCATACTTGAACGATTCATACGCCCTACATTCTTCAGTGCAACATATGTACATGTTACAACTTTTTTTCGTTTTAGAAAACCCAGCTCAATAATTTTTGGATGACCGTACATTAATATTTTAGTTATGGTTCATGGTTCACATTAAACACTATACACTATCAACTCTATAACTGCTTTAAAATTTGGGGATAAGATCATCACGTCTGTAGGAAATCGCTGTATAATAGCTGATTGTTTTCAAATTCTCATCATTGTCGGATTTTGGAAGCCTCATCCTCACCACACCACGTAGGTAAAACGGTTCCTTCATAAAATTAAACTTTAATTTTTTGGGGATGCAATGAAGTGGTGGTGTGTTGTAGTGAGTATCACCCGTATCGTACACTTATGGCCGTATGCACCGATTTTTACTTAAACTTCTAATAAGTAATCGCGGTTAACGGTTAAACTCGATTTAATTTTAATTCTAATGCACCGGCGCAATACTAATAGGGATTGGTTAAACGAAAGAAACCATTTGATTTTTATGATTGAAGCAAATTCCCTAAACTTTAACGCGGTCTGTGGCTTTAACATAACCTGTTACCATTGAAGAAGGTTTTTAATTTATTTCTCCACGTTCTTGCAATTTTGGTATTAGAATAACAATGGGTAAGACGTGCACCAACGCAAAGAGGGCTCCAAATTTTACACCGTCCGAAAAATTATTATTAATGTCGATAATATCCAATAAATATGCAAGCGTAATAGAAGATAAAAAAAACAGATAGGACTTATGTTCAAGATAGGATAAAATCGTGGAAAATGGTCGAGGAGGACTTTAACTCTAGTCTACCTAATGGCGTGTTTAGAGATTGGGAATGTTTAAAAAGATTTTATGAGAACCAGAGAAAGGAAGTGCGCAAAATTAAAAGTAATGAACGACAAGAGCTGCTTCGAACTGGGGGAGGACAGGTTCCCCCAACTAAAGATGATCCTGCAGACATGCTCTTATTGTCCATTATGAATGAAAAGACGGTGTCTGGGTTAAAAAATAAATTTGATAGTGACTGTGACGTAACACCTGTAGCTATTGAGGTTGGTGACACATTAATCTTTGACATGGACACAAATGATCCTGAGGTAATATATATATTAGTTTATTTTTATAATTTTTACATTCTTGTGTATTACAGTGTGATGTACCATCCCCTGCGTCCAGTGCAACGCAAAAAAGAAAACATGATGAAGATGAAATAGTTGAGCAGGTAAGGCATAAGAGTAAATGTGGTACCTATAACATATAATTTACTGTAACCTTCAGGAAAATCCGCCTGTTGCAGTGGAATCCTGGAAACATTACAAGCCTAGTAATTTACAGAATCCAATCAATCCTGTATTAAATGTAAGAATGAAATTTGTATTTATTATTTATAAAGAATTACATTTACATTTTAGGAACAATCTACTTCAAGAACTCCACTGAGAAGCAACCGCCGTAGACCAGTGCAGCAAATTAAAGCTTTATCATCGTCAGCTGTTGCCGAAAAATATGAGCAGTTATTAAATAAACGTTTAATATTAGTCGAGAAACAAATATTGCAATTAGAGGAGGATAAAATAATGAAAAAGGAAAAGCAAAGATTAGAATTGCAGCTACTAGAATTAGAAATTGAAATTAAAAAAAAAACTCTAAACTAGGAACTTATTCTATTTTTATATTGTACATTATAAATTTGCAAAGTAGTTGTTTATTAGTTCTCGACGATAGTCGTACAGTCCAACATGGTTGACGTTTTGTGGTAGTTGCGGAACTTCACCTAAATCAATTAAATTTTGCAACTCATTTGCATTAATGTTCTCTGGAATTGGTGGTACGTCTTCTTTCATATCTATTGCTATGTTATGCAATACTGCCGTGGCAGTAATAATTGTTAATGTGGTTTCCACCTTACATCGCAAACCATATGCCAACACTGGAAATCTGCGTTTCCAAACCCCAAACAATCGTTCAATTGTGTTTCGGGTTCTTATATGGGCTTCATTATATAATGATTCTTCTCTGCTTATTGGATTCAGAAGAGGAGTTAAGCAATATGGCCTTAATGTATATCCACTATCGCCTACAAATTAAAGTTTTATAGATAAATTAAAGATGCAGTAATAAATAATTACCAAGAATAACGTTATTGTTGAACTCGCCAGCTTCAAAACGTGCTCTAATTCTGCTGTTATTAAAAATAGTAGCATCGTGGGTGGATCCAGGCCACCTTGCAACAATATCAAACACTTTAAGTGTAGAACTGCCAATAACCTGTGTGTTTATTGAAAACACTGATTTTCTATTTCTATACACCTCTGCATCTTCACCATCTAAGGTTTTCACTGTACCGTAGCCATTAAACAGAAATAAGTATTACCTGGAGACTGTATTTTTATATGTGTTCCATCAATACAACCAAGCACTCTGGGGAATCTCGCAATTCGATAAAAATCCTGATTGGTGTGTATGACTTCATGATCTCTTGGCATCTTGATATAAATTGGTCTTAATCCAGCAATAGCTTCAGAAACTTGTGTTATTACTCGGGAGGCTGTGGATTGATGGAATCCCATAAAATCTGCTATAGATACTTGATGTCCAGAGGATGCGTAAAATCTTAATGTAGCCAATAATTTGTTAATGGGAGAAATACTATTGTTTCTGAAAAGATACCAGTTGTAAATTGCTGCTAAATTACTCAAATTGCGCCAAACTTATAGTAGGGGAGCTAACACGAAATCCACTGAACGAGAATGATCAAAATTTTAACCGATGGTGTTCCATTTTGCCCTATCAGAGTATGCTAAAATCGATCGTCTGCCGCCTCAGGTCATACGACTTAAGGCGCTTCGGGTACTTCTTGCGGTACCAATTCTGAAAGGTTGTTTTTCAAAAAAATAAGTTATACACCAAATGAAAACGTTGATAATAGCTCTTAAAAAAATATTTTAAAAAATCGCGCGCATTTGATAACTCCGTAAAAAAACAATTCTTAGTCGGTTTTTCACGAACTTTCTACGGATATAACTAGGTTACGGTTGGACGAGTGAAGCTGATTTTTTTTACAGACTGATGATATGATAAGTACTACTAATGACTTAACGGTGTTTCGTTTTTAAATTTTTTCTCTAATTACAAGATTATCTTATTATCTTAACATTATAAGATATCTTATAATTAGAGAAAAAATTTAAAAAAGAAACACTCTCATATAGTCATTGGCTGTAGGGGAGAGGTGTGTCAATTGTTACAGGGGGGCAATTGTTACAATGTTCATACAGCATCATCTATGAGCCGCTGAATAAAGCATAATATATCATCCGACGGCCATTGCTATACTGTATTACCGACGAACTTGCCGATCATGTTGTTGCCGCGGTATTCTGACAGTTGATGATCATTCCATTTAGGAGGTTAACGTAAAATTTTTATGCGGCACATTTTTTCTTGTTACATCGAATATAATCAACTCACGGAGGTGAAAGTAGTGTTAAAATAATCGGAAACAATTGAGCGTTGGTGTGAGGTAAGGGTATTTGTTGTTTTACTTATAAAAAAAAAGGTTCAGGTTCAAGTGTGTTATTTCGTAATGGTGTGGCAATTGTTACAAATACATGGGTGTCAATTGTTACTGTAACAATTGACCCCTATGTTTTTTTTATGTGTTTATGGATCCTAGTGTGGATTTCTTGTTGCAGTTGAACGTAAACATGGTATATAAACGCCCTCGTAAATCTGCCAGGGGTACAATAGAGGAGGAAAAGTACGTCGAAGCGTGTAGACGTGTGATTGGAGGAGAAAAAAACCGAAGTGTAGCTAGAGATTTAGGTATGTGCCATATGACTCTTGCTCGATATGTTAAGAAATACAAAGAAACGGAAACGGTCAATACAGGTTATAAACCTTATAATAAAGTATTTACAGAGGAACGAGAGAAGGAGCTTGTTTCGTACTGTACTTCTGCTAGTAAACTGTATTTTGGCTTGACCACTAAAGACTTGCGTAAATTAGCATACGAGTTTGCCAAACATCTAAAATTAAACTTTCCCTCCAAATGGGAAGAATCTCAGATGGCCAGCATTGACTGGTATAAGGCTTTTATGCAAAGGAATCCTATCTTATCAGTTAGGAGGCCCCAAGCAACTAGCCTAGCTCGTGCAATGAACTTTAATAAGCCTAATGTTGAAAAATTTTATCGAAATTTAGCTGAGCTATTGGACAGATGGAAATTTCGACCAGAAAATATGTATAATATTGACGAAACGGGGGTAACTACAAGCCAAAAACCTCACAAAGTGTTAGCTGAAAAAGGCACAAAACAAGTTGGCGCAATAACCTCCCAAGAACGAGGCACTTTGGTCACAGTTTGTTTAGCTGTGAATGCCATTGGCAATGCTGTACCTCCATTCTTTGTATTTCCCAGGAAAAATTTTCACCAACATTTCTTAAGAAATGGTCCCACTGGTTGTAGTGGATCTGCTAACAAAAGTGGTTGGATGCAGGAAGAGGACTTTTTGTTATTTATGCAACACTTTAAGAAGTTTGCAAAACCAAATGAATATAATCGCGTATTGGTGGTAATGGATAATCACAGCTCCCATATAAGTTTACCTGTGATAAATTTCTGCAGAGAAAACTTCATTGCGATCTTATCATTCCCTCCTCACACGTCGCACAAGCTTCAACCGCTTGACAGATCTGTGTTTGGACCCTTTAAGACAAAGTTTAATATTGCAGCAGATCACTGGATGCGAAACCATCCAGGTGAACGAATGACAATCTATGATTTGCCAGAATTAGTCAAAAGTGCCTTGTTAGCAGCAGCCACAGCGTCGAATATAATTGCTGGATTTCAATGCACAGGAATATATCCATTTAACGATCATATTTTCGAAGAAAGTGATTTTGCTCCAGCTTCCATTACTGATATGCCATATGAATCATCTAATGAACCACAAGCTGGGTGTTCAAAAGATGCAAGTGTGTCAAATATTCAAGTAACGGAATATTCATCTCAAGATCGTGAAATTCCTTTACACAAAACTCCACCAACATCACCTACTACACGACAATCGCTTGAGGATATAAAACCACTTCCTAAGGCGCAATATAAAAAAAAATCAAAAATTGGAAGGGCAAAAGGTAAGACAGCTATCTACACCGATACTCCTGAGAAAGAAGCTTTAGAGGAAGAAAAGAAAAGGAGGGATGTCAAGAAAATTCCAAAACTGCCAAACCATTTGACAACAAAAAGAAGGAGACAGGAAAAGAAAAGCGTCGACTACGATTATTCTGGTGATTCGTCTGAAGAAGAAACTACTATTTGTCTTGTGTGTTGCAAACCATATTCGAAGAGCAAAGAGGATTGGTTACAATGCACTGATTGCCGAAAATGGGCGCACAGCAGTTGTGCGAATAATGATCCATATTTCATTTGTCTTAATTGTTTATCAGAATGATACAAATATACCCATTTAACCCAAACCCATTTGTAACAATTGACCCTTGGTACTGTCACAATTGACCCCTCGGTGGGGCGATTGTTACATTTTGAACTAGTTGTCATAAATGACATTATAATCGTATATGAAAGTTGTTTTTGTTTTCTGTTTGGTTTAACAACACCTATATAGTTTAGCTATTTTGTGATAAAAAATAAATATTTTTTGATGACTTGTGAAAAAGTTATGTGGATTTAAAAATAATTTGTAACAATTGACGCACCTCTCCCCTACCTCTCATTAGTCTGTAAAAAAAATCAGCTTCATTCTTCCAACGGTAACCTAGTTATATCCGTAGAAAGTTCGTGAAAAACCGACTAAGAATTGTTTTTTTACGGAGTTATCAAATGCGCGCGATTTTTTAAAATATTTTTTTAAGAGCTATTATCAACGTTTTCATTTGGTGTATAACTTATTTTTTCGAAAAACAACCTTTCAGAATTGGTACCGCAAGAAGTACCCGCAGCGCCTTAAGTCGTATGACCTGAGGCGGCAGACGATCGATTTTAGCATACTCTGATAGGGCAAAATGGAACTCCATCGGTTAAAATTTTGATCATTCTCGTTCAGTGGATTTCGTGCTAGCTCCCCTACTATTACAAATCATTATCGAACTCCAGAAATTCCTCTATTTGTGGTAACAAATGTAATATTTGTGGTAACAAATGTAAAACTGTATTTTTAGTTAATCGGAACCTTCTAAAAAAGGATAGCTCATCCATGTCGTCAAAATAATTGGTCCTCTGGTAAACACGCCTTGGAAAACCGTATTCAATTATGTTTAACATGTCACCATCATCGTCATAAAACATTTCGTCTTCAATTTCCATGGTAGATTAACGAATTTTAAAACTCCAAGAGATTTGAGAAGACCGAAGTTGAGGTTATGTGATTACACAGTGACAGATGCTAGCGCGCACGCGTGTACCTTAAATCGAGATTACACACTTAAACGAGCAAAATTGCCGGTGTAACTTTAAGCTTCGTTAGCACTCTAAACATTAGCGGTGCATAGCAGTTATGTTATTTAACCAAGTTTAAACTCTAATCCAGTTTAAAAACGCTACGGTGCATACGGCCATTAAAGATTCTGAAGTCGCCTGCAAATAATCATGAATTAGTGAAAAGATAGCTACCTTGTCACGGTTCTTCTAAGCCCTACGGTAATTCATAAACAATATTTACTGACAAAATCTATAACCTCTATAACTTTTGAACTATTATTACATAAAATTTGAAACGGTGCTACACACAATAAAAATGACAAATATCAGGGAACCATATCCTAAAAAAGTGATTTTTCTGTGAATTCCGCTATATTAACCTAACAAAAAAATGTTCGGTCTTTGAAGTTGACGATAATCTGAAAAATTTTTCCTGTATCTCTAAAAATGAAGTAGTGGGGGGTATTCAAAGGTTTCCGTAAAGAACACCCTGTATCTTCGAAACGGCTGAGCCGATTTAAACAAACTTGGGTTAGTTCAAAAGAGCTATTCTTCAGCTACAAATATTATACTATTTGAAGTTTTGTTAGTTTCACATATCACCGCTTGAGGGCTTTTTTCGACATTCCGACAGAAATGGTTAATTTTCTCAAAAAAATTAAATGCTTTGGTTCAATTTTTTTTTCATGAAAAAGTAGCTAAATAATGCCTAAATAAGCTCGCGAAAACAGCCTCTCGATATCTTGAGATATACAGGGTGGTGAGTTGCGTAACGCATCATAGGGATTTCAATGTAAAATTCATAACATGCGATTATTGGCTCCCCAAATTATTTGAGAGCAAAAATGTATTAAAGTTTTTTGTAGAAAAAATTTTTTTCGCCAATCAACCGTATTAGTTTTCAATATTTTTCATATAAAGACGGAAAATTTCAAAAATAAAACTCGCATCTTTTTTAATAATCTGCGATGCCATGGAATTTTCTAAAACAAAAAGATATCCAGCTATCAATTAGCAGCAGTTCGAAATGGATTTTGTGATCGACTTGGATACTGTCTTGCAGTTAATGGTGACTTATACGAACATTTATTGTAAATTGTTATATTAGGAAACCGCTTTTAGTAATTTGGTCTTTCTTTATGTTGAATTCGCTGTTCTAAATATAATACTTTTTGATAGAATTTGATTTGTTTTATAACAGATATTCCATGGCATGACGGATATTGGCGTAGTTTTTGTATTATAAAATTCCATGGCATCACAGATTATTGAAAAAGGTGGGGGTTTTATTTTTCCAAATTTCCGTCTTTATTATGCAAAAAATTGAAAACTAATACGGTTGATTGTCGTAAAAACCTTAATACATTTTTGCTCTAAAATAATTTGGGGAGCCAATAATCGCATGTTATGAATTTTACATTGAAATCCCTATGATGCATTGTACAAGTCACCACCCTATATACATATAATACAAGGGAAGCCCATCAATATTGAAACTAAGGAAAATGTTGTGTCCACAAAATGCTTTATTCTGAATTAAATAAGAAGATAGTACATTTCTTATACCAAGGTAACACAATTCCCCATTATCAGGTTGTTTTATAGTCAATTTTGTGGGGGTATTTAACAAGGTTCTAGAATCTAACGGAATTTCTGGGTGATAGGGTTTTAAAGCATGTAGCAATCCCGTAATGGCACAGTGAGTAACAGTGAAATTAACACCCCATTGTCTAATGGTTGAAATGATACAAAGTAATGTGGCATTAGATTCTTTTGCTGAAAAAATCTTTGTAAAAATAATCCTCCCTAGCATGAGAACTTGCCTCATTATCGATTAGCTTATCATCAGTAAATGTTGCCAAATGTATGAATAGACACTTCCAATAGGTTCACATGCATTGATTAAAGGGACTAACAGAGGGGTATCCTTACCTCGAGAAGCTTGCTCAGTATGAAGAGTATTTTTAACAGTAAGAGCTATCCTACGATACAACTGTCTCTTAGAAACTATGGGTTTTAACTTATATTTAATCTTTCTTTCTGTCGATCCTGCTTTGTTCCTTTTTAAGCGATCTGGAGCATGCTTCAACCACACTCTTATACAGTCTTCCACTTCCTTGTCAGTTCCATTTTGAATGGTATGTTTGACGGCACCTAAAGAGAAAAGAGAAGTTAAATTTACTATGTATACATATTTGGAAAAGAGATCTACAGAATTGGGTTTTATTAGCATTAAGGACACTTACCGACTATTAATTTCTTCAATGTTAACTCAGCAAAAGCACGTTTATCAGATCGTTTCCCATAATAATTAAATTTGATGGCTGCAATATCCGCTAAGATGTATTTGAAAATCCTATTAGTTTTTCGCGTTACATTATTACCCCCTCGAGTGGATAAGTATTTCACCTAAAAAAATGAAATTGTACATAAATCGATAATAAGTAAATCGTTGCCGTACCAAAGCAGTAATAGTATATTATTCATACTATACTTTTTCAGGTACCGGAGGGTAATATGGCCCAGCGGAAAATAAGGCCCACGTTTAAATTTAGCGCTGTTTTTCCACCAATCGCGAAAAGTCGTCTTACTGTCTTACTTCACATCAGTGGGAATCCATATACTAACAAGCTTGTGAATTTATGCGCGTTAAGTGTTAATATTTATTTCGAGTTTTTATTATAACATCAACTTATAAGTGACGATAGAGTGTGTTTTTTTAAATTACAATGGTCAATTTATCCATACTTCTTTGTTTCTAATTTGAACATGATTACATAGCCACGCTTGTTACTATTCAGTTAGAGGTTAGATCATGTTTTGGCTTTGTGAGAAATTAATTTTGTATTACTGTTGTTTCGGAAAATAAGGCCCGGGCCATATTTTCCGACCTATGTTGTGGGCTTTATTTTCAGTTCGTTTTTATTTGCAGATGGGAAAGTATAAATGTCGAGGGTTGCGAGCTAATTGGGATGCGGATATGATGAATGATGCTTTAAGGCTTCTACGCCAAGGTCATTCGCAAAGAGACGTTGAGCAACAGACTGGCGCACCTTACGAAACCATTTAAAAAGCGGTGAGACAGTAAGGAAGCTGGAGCGTAAACCAATTCTTACTGAAGCGCAAGAGATGGATCTCGAAAATAGAATCATTCGATTAGCAAATATATGATTACCTCTTACCCCAAAAGCTTTAAGAAGAAGCGTCTACAGTTTTATTAATATCAATCGAATTGATGTGAATCCAAGAAATAGAACCAAAATATTGTTGGAAAAGATTGGTATTCTGCATTTCTAAAACGACACCCACGCATCAGCAAGAGGAAAGCGCAATCCATGAATCCAGCTAGATCCCAAAAATTGAATCGATTTATAGTAGGGGATTACTTCGAGAAATTAAGCACTTTGTTGGAAACCTTTAACTTAAAACATTCTCCGAATAAGATCTTCAATATGGACGAGAAAGGTTGTGGACTAACCTTACACCATCAGCAATCTGTGTTAGCAATGAAAGGATCCAAAAGAGTACATCTTGTATCTCAAGGGCATGGAGAGAACGTAACAATTGTGGCATGTGTGAATGCTGTAGGACATGCCATACCCCCAATGATTCTGTTTAAAGGAATTCGTGAAAAACCTACTTTTTCGGATGATCTACCAGCAGGTTCAATCGTTTCTATTAGTCCCAAGGGCAGTATGACTACTGAACTATTTTGTAAATGGCTAGACCACTTTGCTAAATACAAACCGGAAGGAAAAGTGCTACTGATATTTGATGGTGCTGCGTGTCATCTTGATGTCACTATTGCGGATAAGGCAGAAGAAAATAACATCGAGTTATTTTGTCTTCCCAGCAACACAACACATGAACTCCAGCCCCTAGACAAAACAGTGTTTAGGTCTTTTGAACACTACTGGGATGACCAATTATTAATGTACTGAGACCAAAATCCAGATCGCCGTCTGACAAAAGAAAGATTCTCCGCCGTTTTTACACCAGTTTGGGGAAAATGTATGACGGTTGCTAATATAACGAGTGGGTTTAGAACCACAGGTATTTACCCATTTGACAAAAATGCGATATCTGATGAAGCATTTGCTCCATCGACAGTAACAAGGAGGATTATTGAAAGGCAACCATCCTTCGACGAAGATGACAATGGCCTCGGGCGAAGAAATACAATCATCTACAAAAAGAAATGAAAATGCTGTGCCCAAAAACTGCCTTGTATCAGTAGCAGGAACATCATGTGCACAAAACAAAAAACAAAAAGTAAAGGGTGATGCAAAAATACAAGTTCTTCGTGAGAAGACATTGTCGCCAGAGAATAGTAGGAATGCTAAACAAGAGGAATTACCAGTCAAAGAAAAATCTTTCTTGGAAATGGTGAAAACTCCTGACCTTGTTCAAAAGAAGGCGGTTGTCAGGAGAAAAGCAATCAATTATAAATCACAGCACGTTGCAAAGAAGCTATTTAATAAAGGAAATGCCCATTCGGCTGCAGTTAAAGAAAATTCTACTAGTGATGATGAATCGTGGTACTGCTACCTTTGTCAATCAAGCAAGCAGCTGGACATGCGATGTTGTGGTGCATGTAAGCAGTGGCTACACGAAGAATGTCTTGGTTTAACCGCAGATGATGTGGAAGAACTACTTTGTCCAAAATGCCAGGATAATTAATTCATTTTTATGTTGGGCCTTATTTTCCATCCAGGCTGAAAATAAAGCCCATATCATTATTTTTTTCAAAAAATTAATGTTCATTTGATTTTTTTTTAAATTGTATTCTAGCACGTTGACTGCGACACATGCCTTTTGAGGCATGTGTATAGTTTGAGTTGTATGCGAACGCACATTTGGCTATATATTGCAATAACTGCGACGGCGCCTACATGGCTATTTCTTAAGCTATTTCAGTTGCACATATACCATTCAATTGGGTTTTGAATATATGACAAGCTAATTGGTGACTTATAGCACATGCCATTTGAGGCATGGGCCGCACAGTAGTAATTTAATATTACCTTGGTGCGACGCATGCCCCATGAGACACGTGGTTTGTTGTTGTTGATTTTCTTGGGTTAGGGTATTCGTATTGCGTGTTGTGTTTTGTAAATGTGTGTGAGGTTTATATACATATTGTTTGTTTTTCAATAAGTGTAATATTGATGAAACATGTCTACGCGAGCGAAGAAGATAGTGGAAGCGGCGACAAAAGGGGTAGTGAAAAGTGGTGAAACAATTGGCGAGTGTTCGAGTAGCGTGTTAGAAGATGACTTAGAAGGTGTCATCCAAACTAATGAAAGGGAAAACGCACCCGAAAAAGAAAATACGGACGTAGACAGATCATATTTTTTGTCAGATGAGGGAAGTAACAACGATGCTTATAGTAGTGATGATTCTTTGGCAGATAAAAACTACGTACCAGATACATCATCTTCTGAGGATCATGAATCTTCCAGTAGTGAAGAAATCGAGTCGCCACTAACAAACGCTAATATCGATCAAGAAAGGAACGATAACGCCACTGATGAATGGATTGACATAGAGGATGATGACACTGGCGAAGATATCGTTTCTCAAAAATGTACACTTAACATCACGAATTCAGATATTGAGGAGCCAAATGATGCCTTTGGCCGCTTTATTACCAGTGACATATTAGACATTATTGTTAATGAGACAAACATTTATGCCACGCAACAGTTGACTGTCCAGCGTTCCAGAAAATCCAGACTAAATTCCTGGACTGCGACTAATCGAGATGAAATAAGAGCATTTTTAGGTGTTACTTTAGCTATGGGCCTTACTCAAGTTCCTCATATTAATCTGTATTGGTCCAAAGATCCCATGTTCCACAACAGCTTTGTAGCAAATGCTATTACACGTGATCGGTACCTTTTGCTGTTAAAATTTTTACATTTCGCAAACAATGAGACCAGTGATGCATCTAATCGACTTTATAAAATAGCACATATAGTTTCACTCATTCTTAAAAATTTTCAAAAAACTCTAACACCTGGTAATGTACTTGTTATAGATGAGTCAATGATGCCTTTTAGAGGAAGACTCCTTTTCCGACAGTATATTCCAAATAAAAGCCATAAATATGGAGTTAAATTGTACAAACTTTGCTCACCTGAAGGTTACACTTTCAACGTAATAATTTATACAGGAAAAGGCGATACAGTACCGGAGTTTGGACATTCACAATCAGTTGTCATCAAGCTACTTGATTGTGTTGAAGATAAAGAAGGAAAAATCCTATATGCCGATAACTATTACTACAGCGTTCCCCTTGTTAGTCGGTTACTGAAAGAAAAGATGATGTACTGTGGCACATTGAGGGCCAATCGGAAAGGTTTACCACCTTCATTTGTTACTAAAAAGAACATCAAACGGGGTGAAATATATGGGAAGAAAAAAGATTCCATCAAAATCATTAAATGGATGGATAAAAGGCAGGTTTTGATGATTAGCAGTGTACCTTCACATAATACGAATTTACTACCCATTGGGAAGAAAAACAAAAAAGGAGAAGAAATTGTTAAGCCACTATGTATTATACAGTACAATTCAGCAAAAAAGGGCGTTGATTATTCAGATCAAATGTCTTCGTATCATAGTGTCCTTAGAAGGAGTTTGAAGTGGTATCGGTAAGATCTTCTTTATATATTTTTGGCCATTATTTTCCCTGTTCTTTTTACAGAAAGGTCATGTTCGAAATGATCCTTGGGACATGTGTCGTCAATGCACTAATTTTATATAACATGTGTTCTGAAACTAAACTTAGTATTACGGAATTTAGAAGGCAGCTAGCATATTCACTTGTTAAACCTATGGAGCCACCAAAACCTCCTAAAAAGAGAGTACACAGTTTAACAAAACCAGATGGTCCTGGGCGGAAGAAGCGTAAACCTTGCAAACAGTGCCGTCAGGTTTTAAAAGCATCAGGCTTATCCCATCGTGAGGTGGATAAGAAGGTTAGAAGAGTGGTCACTTATTGCGCAGATTGTCCAGGCGAACCCGGATATTGTTTAAATTGTTTTAATGAGACTCATAAATAGGTTTTTTAATCTCTGAAGAAGTGTTTAGTTTTCGTACAGTATTTGTTTTTTGTTTTATGATTTTTACTTTACCTACTTATTTAGAATTTTAACAATGAATTGACTTGTATTTGTAACATGACATTTAGGTGTACCCAAATATCCTTATAACAAGATATTAAAACGTTACAAATATTATATAGCGCGCGTTTTACTGAGAAAAGGGTTTTTATAAGGTAGTACACAATTATCTTTACTTCTATGCGGCACGTATCCCAGGAGGCATGTGCTGTTCTGTTCATATAAAGATTACTTTATTTAGATAAGATCCGCACCTCATATTACTGCAGAAGTGTGAAAAATAATAAATGGAGGGCTCTACTTGCTTCATGCTTACACATGCCACAAATGGCATGGGTCGCATATAAACTAAATATGTTCACATGCCCCCATAGGCATGTGTCGCGCATTAAATGAATCGTCAAAAATGACAACCGCAGTCAACGTGCTAGGCTTTTATGAAGGAGTCTTACATATTTAAGTTATGATTTTTGTTTATGGGTTTGTAATAAATATATTACACAGTAAACGAATTTTATATGTTAGGTGGGCCTTATATCCCTCCGGTACCTTACTTGTATTCAATAATTACAGTAATAATAACATTATCGTCCGTAATTGTGAATTTCATGAGGTATTATACGTTATCCGGAGCTTGACGTAAAAATGTGTTAATTTGCTCAGGAGTGAACGTTTTTGATTTTTTGGGTTGATAACCTTCAGATTTTCGTTTTAAAAAGGCGCGCAATCTTGCATAGATATCGATGTTCGCACTATTATGAATGCTAATGGTGCTTCTCAACATAGAGTAACGGGCCCATAAAGATGAAGATTTGTATTTTTCGGCTAATTCGCCAAAATATACTAGAAGCACATTTTCTGAAAGCGAACTTATCGATTTTGTGTTACGCCAATCCATAAACGTTTTGTACACCATTTCATATTTCTTGCGAGATTTTTCAGGAAGTAAATTAAGGATAATTTGCTTTGCCGTTTTTTCAACATCCGGAGGAGTCCTCACTGCTCATCATGATTACACTAAAGTCCATTTTCACAACCTGATTTCTCGTAATTTGTTTGATTGACATTAATGTTTGACAACTGAATTTATCGGGATCCGAGATCCTGATTTTTGTTACATACATGTTTCACTAAAGGCGAATTTTGGCGATGAATGTGGTGCGCGTATAAGGAACCAATGCATTTTGGCGACGAACAAGTGACGTCATTGTTATGAAATCGTAACGCGGTTTCACGAAACGCTGGATGATGGTTGAGGGAAGTGTTCAATTGCAAGTTTAACGGTTCGTTAAATACTCGTGTTGTCGTTTTCGGCCGAGTGCGAGGTCGAGTCTCGAGTGTAAACACTAAACAATTTAACCTCGCTTCGTTGTGTACGATTTTGTGTATTTTGATTTTCATGAAGTTCTTATTCGTTACGTTATAATGCAAAACGTTCAAAATGCAAGTATTGTAGATGTGGAAGATGATTGCTATGTAATTGAATTAGAAGGTAAAAAAATTGACTTAAATTTTGCTCCCAACTACATTAGTAATTACAGATGGAACAAAATATAAACTGCCGCCGGCATGCGGTAAATACACAAACATTGATGATAATGCACTTGTTGCGGTTGATGAAAACCAATTCCTACGTTTAAAAATTCCGGAACCTTCAGAGACCATGACAAACCCTTTGCCTTCGGCAAGTACATCCGTAGAAGATGTTATTTGGAAATCAGCTCGTAATCAAACTCAAGCTGACATAAATGCGATTATAACCTTTTTAACACTGAGAAGTAGTGATAAATATGACCGTTTATTTAATGATAAAAAAACTGTCAAGTTAAAAGTTTGGCAAATGCTAGCTGAAGCTATGAATCAAGAGGGATTCCATGTTGGTAATGGCAAAGAAGCAGCTGAACGTTGCCGACAAAAATATCATAACCTAATGAAATCTTATTTACAATTAACAAAAAATAGTAAAACTGGCACCGAAGGTGGAAAGCCACTACCTCCATATTTTGATTTAATGCACAAGTTGTATGGCACAAAACACAGTGTTAATCCGACATACACTGTAGACTCATTGACTGGTGAACAGGAAAACGAAAATAACAGTGAAGAGAATATTGAAATACAAGAAGAAACAAAATCTGGTCCTTCCACCCCTTCCACAAGTGGGACTTCAACACCCACTGCCCGTCCATCTAAACTAAAGCCTAAAAGTAATTCAGATAGAATTCTGTCATCAATAGAAGCATTGCACAAACAACAGCAAGAAAGCAACCAACGTAATTTCGAATCTATCGAAAATTTATTGAAGGAACAAAATCAATACAAGAAAGAATTTCTATCATTATTCAAGAAAATAGTTGAAGGGAAAAAGAAAAGAAAACGTGAATCGTCTGAATCAGATTAAAATCAATGCCTTAGTCAAGTTTATTAAAAAAATCAAAATTTATACATAAGTTTCATAGTTAAGTATTCGTGTTAGACATTACTCATTAATAAATCTTTTATGGAATTACTTTTTTCATATTGCTTTGTAATGAACTTTTTTCAGGTCTACTGTTAGCATAAAATGTATCGTCCTCAACATGGGTTTCAGGCCATATGTGATCTTTAGACAAATATGTAAAATTATGTAACACACAGCATGCTGTAGTTATTAGAACTACTTTTTTAACACTATATACGTTGACATATTGAAGGATCCTCCACCTTCCTTTTAGTCTCCCAAATGTATTTTCAATTACTACTCTTGTACGACTATGAATTGTGTTATGATTTGATTCTGCTCTGGTTAGCCGACCATTATCACTGAAACGTTAGGACTAATAAATCAGTTCTTACAAAAATTACCGTAACATACATGTAAGGAGTAATTAACCAGTCCCTCAAGAAATATGCAGAATCTCCAAGTAAATGATTCTTGTTATAAAAATAAGTATTTGGCCCGAGCTCTTCTAAATTTTTGTAGAAACTGCTATTTTGAAATACCTATAAAATATCAGGTTTTTATAGGTATAATTTCCACGCAAAATTATTTACTCTAGAATCATGAGCCGATCCAGGAAATCCAACAAAAATATTGGTAAACATACAATTTGCATTGCAGATTCCCTGAAGTATTATGGAATGGGAATGTTTCCTATTTAAATAGCTCAGTTGATGTTTTTCTGGCACTTTACAAGGGATATGGGATCCATCTATTGCTCCAATAACTCCTATCAATTGAACATAAAGGTCGATAAGTAAGTAGTTATAGAGATATACCTAAATCACCTTACCAGGATATCCAGCCATTGCTCTAAATTGTTGCTCTGTAACAACAGCTTCTGCAGCATTAGGCCATGTAATATATTCCGATGCTAAACTTGCCACAGCCGTTATGTAAGTTTCAGTAATATGTAACGCAGTGGATTCGCTTACATTAAATTTGTCAGCAATAGAAACAAATGTTTCTGCTTTCCCTAGGTACCATAACGTGATTAATAAGCACTTTCCTTGTGGGACACTGGTATATGTCCTCCATGAAAATGCTTTTTTTGAACTTTTACAGATACTTTCTTTAACAGCTGCTCAAATGTGGTATGTGACATACCTACGAAACATTCTAAAAAAATCTGTTTCTAGATAATGAGGTAGCCAATCTTCATAATATCCATCTGGTCGGATGTGCGTTTCCCTTAGTCTACTGACACATAACAATATATTTTCCCATATGCCATAATTATTAATTGTGTTATGCAATAACTGTAAAATGATGCTATTGTCATCATCAAAAAGTAAATGACTTGCTAATACAAGTAATTTCTGTTCCTGATTCATTGCATTAAATAAGAACATAAACAATAAACATAACCACAAAATTTTAAACTTCAAAGTTCAAACAACAAACATCAAACATGGAAAAATTCATTTTGGCGAGGACAGTTGTTGATGACGTCACAGCTTTAACCGTGTTTATAAAGTGATAAACCACGTTCGTCGCCAAAATTCGCCTTAAATGTGACCTAAAAGAGTAATGACAAACTCGGAATACGATTGGGTGACAACAGTTGAATAATGAAATCATATTAAATAATAGATAACTTTCTCAATTAAAAACCCATCAGTATTCTACCTAATATGAGTAGAAAAAGTAATTATTATTAATACTGCATTTACTTGAACTTGCTCAATTGATTTCAATGGAAATGTAAATGGCAGGTCTGGTACACCATCAACAATATGATTTTTTTGAAATCCATGCCAGAATTTGATCATTATGTTCTTTTACGCAAGCAACAAGGGATGTAAGATTTGCTAAAATTAAATTTGAAATAACATTTAGAAAAATTGTGCAACTCACTAAGTTGCGTATACAGATTAGGATTACTTGAATTGCAATTGAAATCAGGCATGGGCACATTATTCTGTTCGACAGGAAGTGGTGCTTGGAGTAACAAGTACGTTCGAGTGTATCAACATATACGGGGAGACCACGAGAAATACATTTTTGATTTGACTGTATCCAGCCCTGACGAATCGTGTGCTGATGGGGCATTGATCATTCACCTTCTAAGGATTGCCCATTTAGGCATCTCATTCGTAATGGAGCAGTGTACGGTTGAAAACCACGTGTTTACCTACGATTCGTATGTTACAAATAATGTCTCAGTTGCAGCTCAGTGTGATTTTCGGAATCATTTCAACATTGGCCGTGGGTCGAAACCTTCTAACACATTTCATAATCGTTTGTAGGTACGGGTCCATGCTGAGCGGCAACCATTGAGTCATTATGTCTAACATGCGAATCGTAGATAAACACATGTTGTTTAGCCGTTCCAGGCTTCATTGGGACTGAGATACCTAAATGTCCCCACCTTAAGAAATGAAATGAATGACCCTACGATTCGGGCTGAGTACAGTTCCATAACAAATTAACATACTACTCAATTGTCCCATAGCTATGATTGAACCAGACTGACAATATTAAAATAGGTGACTTTGTTATTAACGAAAAAGTGGACAAATATTATGTACTTATAAATACTGCAGTAACTATTTATTACTTTTTATATAGACCCTGCCATTTAAATAGACTTCATTACTTACGGTCAGAATCCAGGTGGGTACTACGGACATTTTTCTTAATTTGGGTTCGATTTCTTCTGTTCTTTCTTCTGGGGCGGCAAATTTTGTTGTTAGTATACGATAAAATGTTATAATGTAACAATTGACGCAGCAATAATTGCTGTGAGGAGCCGTTTTGATTCTCATAAAGAATTATTAGACATACCATAGCAAAGAATAGTTTACCAGCCAAGGCACTTGATAGAATCTTCCAACTTACGGGTATAGAAAAAGACGATGAATTACTATCGTTTGCCTTATTTTATCCTAATGTTGTCTCCTGACGTGTGGGAAGGTATTTATTTACCCATCGGATCCCGAAGACACAATTAACACTGCATCTACAGACTCATGTGTGTGCTGAAGACGTTGATAGAGTTTCAAATGTATGCGGCAGAGTATAAAAATTTATTTCAAGTTTACAAGTTTCTTCTTAATCTGCCTATGACACAAGCGAAATGCGAAAGGCATTTTTCACAATTAAAAATTATTAAAAACAGATTACGGCAATGCATGAACAATGAACACCTCAAGTGCTTCATGTTCATGTATTGCCAATCGGATTAGAAACGCTTGATGATGAGATTATTATTAATAATTTGTGTAAAAATAGTAGGGAACTATCAAGATTATTGCTATTGTGATTTGATTGTACATATTTACCTAATATGTTATTCGTCTTTTTTAGTTTTATTGTAAGATTAAATATATTAAAATTAATGGTTATTTAACTCGGTTTTTAACGATATTAATGGCCGTTTGCACCGACAAATATAAGCGGTGCTTAGCTTATCCATGGCAACGATTACTGCGACAATGGTTACCATGGATTTTGAGCCACGCTTAAATTTTTCGGTGCAAACGGCCATTAGACTCAGTTGGCGGGCGGCAAATTAGGTCATTCCCGGTAGAAATTTAACTACCAGAACGCCCCTGGTTTTAATCAAAGGTAATTATGGAAATAATTTAGTGTTACAGTTGATGCTATATGAATTTACAATTGTAGATTATGATTCTTGGCACATATCGGCTGCGAGAAAATGAATTCGAGACAATTTCGGCAAAGTGGTTCAGACATGCGAAGCAGAGGCTCAATAGATCTAAACAACAGTTAAACCTTAAACGTTTCTATTTTCCTGTATTTACAGTCATAATAACATAATTTGGTATTATTATTTGCAATATTCATTCCATCGATCACAGAGACGGAAACCAGTTCGGTGAATGGATGCCCTCATACCTCGATCACAAGAGTAAAACCAGTGAGATCTGTTGAAATAAACGACACAACTAAATTAACCAGTGCTATCGTCGAGTGTATTAATAGTGTTGTTGAAGTAAAATGCCGTGCCAAAAATATTGTGGATATTGTTACTTGTTGGTGAATGTGCAGGGCAAGTCATCATAAAAAAATGTCCAACATGTCAACTATAAACTACCACAGATTCAATACTACGTTGCCACTATTATATAAAAATACCTACATACATTACATATCTCCCTTTTTAAGACTGATAAAATACACTTTTACATCGTCACAATCACAACATTCAATTTTAAACATAGTCCTTCAAATATGTAGGCTTTTTAACCCTTCGTCTAGATTCCGTACAGGTTTTAGATATTTCTGGTTCGGGTACTAGTACAGAAGTGGTAGGATTTTCAGGAGGGGTCGTCACTGAAACCGAAACAGCTTCTGCCTTTTGGTGTTGTCCAGGAACTTTACTGGCGTGTTGCTCTGCTTCATGTTTTTCTTCCTCACACTTTGGTTTGACAATTTTCTTAATTTGCTCTAATATGTCTCCTTCCTTTAGTTTACAAATATAAATTTTGTTGGATTCGATTTCTTGGATTACCGCTTCAATCCAGTCTGGTTTGTTTTTATTTCTGATATCTCTTACAAACACTTCCTGTCCCAGCTCAAACTTTTTTCGTCCCTTCAGTGTTTCATTTCTCTTTTTAGATTGCGGGGGTGGACTAGGTCGCACTTACCATCATTTCCTGATCCACCATCAGCACCAGAGACGTTCATACGAAAAAACTTCAGGAAAAGCCAAATTCTTCTTGTTCCACACTTACTCCTGTGCATAGAAATTCGCCCATCTCGCAATCGTTTCTAAACGAAACACCTCAGATGAGGGCGACTCTTACAAAATCCACCTCCACTGCTAACTCAAGTGCAATGACCACATCATAAATTGCTTCAGAAAATGGTAATTTTTATTTCCCATTTGTTTCATATTAAAGTAGTTAGAGCGCCTAGGTAAAAGTAACAAGAAGTTGGTGAAAATTTGGTCACTTATTCTCTGAGAGA